TTCGGCTACTGAAAGCGCGACGTAACCTTAACGGCTCTAATCTTTGGTTGGTGATCTTCACTATCCCATTATCCCAAATATGTGCTGCTCCAAACCGCTGCCGCTCCCTTTGCCTGAGAGTACCGCCATGTGACTGGTCTGTGTGAGTGCTGATAATGTGGGTGGGATGGCCACTAACTCCAGGAACACCAAGGGCTCCTCCAATCCCATTCCTGAACCTTCCCGGTGCTGGGTGCTGAGAACGCTCCTCGAGCCGAGCCCCGGCCCCTGGCTCCACGCTTACCGTCGGTGTTGCTGGAGTCGGGGTCGCTGGAGTCGGGAGCACTGGAGTCGGGGTCGCTGGAGTCGGGGTCGCTGGAGTCGGGAACGCTGGAGTCGGGGTCGCTGGAGTCGGGAACGCTGGAGTCGGGGTCGCTGGAGTCAGGGATGCTGGAGTCAGGGATGCTGGAGTCAGGGATGCTGGAGTCGGGAAAGCTGGAGTCGGGGATGCTGGAGTCGGGGAAGCTGGAGTCGGGGAAGCTGGAGTCGGGGAAGCTGGAGTCGGGGAAGCTGGAGTCGGGGAAGCTGGAGTCGGGGAAGCTGGAGTCGGGGAAGCTGGAGTCGGGGAAGCTGGAGTCGGGGAAGCTGGAGTCGGGGAAGCTGGAGTCGGGGAAGCTGGAGTCGGGGTCGCTGGAGTCGGGGACGCTGGAGTCGGGGACGCTGGAGTCGGGGACGCTGGAGTCGGGGACGCTGGAGTCGGGGACGCTGGAGTCGGGGACGCTGGAGTCGGGGACGCTGGAGTCGGGGACGCTGGAGTCGGGGACGCTGGAGTCGGGGACGCTGGAGTCGGGGACGCTGGAGTCGGGGACGCTGGAGTCGGGGACGCTGGAGTCGGGGACGCTGGAGTCGGGGACGCTGGAGTCGGGGACGCTGGAGTCGGGGTCGCTGGAGTCGGGGACGCTGGAGTCGGGGACGCTGGAGTCGGGGTCGCTGGAGTCGGGGACGCTGGAGTCGGGGACGCTGGAGTCGGGAACGCTGGAACTCAGGGAGGTTTGGCTTCTGGTTCGCATAGCCATGGTACTAGATGGTCTCTGCTGCCGAGGAGCTCTGCTAACACCCGGCAGAGCAGAGTCTGTGTAAGCCTCTCCATGAGCTCCGCAGCCTCTGCTGTCAGGCTTTCTGGGGCTTTCCAGGCTGAACCCAAACCCCCCGCTGTTTGGGTCTGTTCGACTCACAGCCCTCCAACTTCGGTTCCCATTCTGTCCACTTCGAGTCGCATTTCCAGTGCGCTGGAAAGTGTTCAGCCGTGGGAGCAGAGAATCTTCATCTGAGCTTTCTCTCAGGTTTTCTGAGTCTCTGTCACTTGTCCCACTCCTCGAGCCAGGCTGGGAAGCCAGCTGTCCCTTCGCTCTGTCCAAGTGCTGCTGTAGTCTTTTTGACGTTATTTCTCCAGGGGTGTCTAGAAGGTTATGGTCTCTCATGAGGCGATAATCTTCGTCACTGAGCTCATGGATAAGCTGGTAATAGTCTTCTTCTCTGCGGAGACGCTTTTGCTGCCATCTCCTCTCATTTTCTTGAAATGAGATTTCTTCTCCACTTCCACTTGGTCTATATCTAGATGGAGTCATGCTGAGACTCCACTAGCTCCTTCCAGCGGGATGACCCGCAGTTGTCCTCTCCGAGGCCGGAAGGTTCTGCAGCCGAGCACTCACAGGCCGCTATGCCCTCTAATCGTCCACTGAGGAGAGGCTTAGAATCTCTGCTGCTGTTCGGGGTGGAGAGAGAGCTAAGAGAGAGGACCACCCGGTGTCGGGCCTTCTCTCACCACCTAGGAGAACAGGCACGCCACCATCTGCAGAGCTCGCCGGTGTCTGGAAACGGCCTCCTCCATCTTTTATCCTTTCTCTGTGAAACCATATCCTCCCGTCTCCACCTCCCTAGTGCTGAGATTAAAGGTGTGATCCCAAGAGCTAAGATCACATTGTGTGAGCTGTTTCTTATAGGAGTGGATCAATGTTGTGTTGTCAGTTGGCCTTGAACTAATAGACGTCTGTCTACCTCTTAATCCTGAGTCCTGGGATTAAAGGTGTGGCCACCACTACCTGGCTTCTATAGCTAACTAGTGTGACTGCTTTGCTATTTTGATCTCCAGTGGCTTTAATAAGTTATAAACAATGTATCACGACATCAGGGCCCCATCTTCTACATTGCGCTTTTTTTTTATTCTTTTTTTTTTTTTTTTTTTGAGACAGGGTACCACTGTGTTGTGTAACCCTAGCTGTCCTGGATCTCACTGTGTAGACCAGGCTGTCCTCAATCCCACAGGGATCCGCCTGCCTCTGCCTCTTGAGCACTGGGATCAAAGGCGTGTGCCACCACTGCCCAGATGCCTTCAACATTCTTATCTTTCAAGCTCCTACAGAATAACAAATCAAGCACTGGACAATCAGTGGCTTTTCTTGCACAAAGTTCCAAAGTCCTTCCACAGTCCTCCCCCAAACATGGCCAGGTCTGTCACAGCAACATCCCACTATCCTGGTACCAATTTACCTTAGTTAGGGTTACTACAGCTATAATGAAACACCTTGACCAAAGCAACTTGTAGAGGAAACTGCTTTCAGGGCTCACACTTCCACACTGTAGTCCCTCACGGAAGGAAGTCAGGATAGGAGCTCACACGGGCAGGAACCTGGAGGCAGGAGCTGATGCAGAAGCCATGAAGGGTGCTATTGGCTGCTCAACATGGTTTGCTCAGCCTGTTTTCTTATAGAACCCAGGACCACCAGCCCCATCTAGCGCAGTGGGTCAAGACCCCTTTGGAGTTAAAGGGCCCTTTCATGGGGGTCTCATGTCACACATCCTGCATGTCAGATATTTACATTACAACTCATAACAGGAGTGAAATTAGTTATGAAGTAGCAAAGAAATAATTTTATGGTTGGGGACCACCACAACATGAGGAACTGTTAAAGGGTTGCAGGGTTAGGAAGACTGAGATCCTCTGCTCTAGTGGTGCCCAGATTTCTCTATTCACTGAGAGATTTGTGGTCATTTGTGGCTGTCTCCCTGCTGACTTTGAACACCCCTAGGGCAGTGGTGACGTTTCTTTTTAATGACCACTGCACCCCAGCTTCTAACTCAGAATTTATGAAATACTACATATTCAAGAAATGCTTGCTGGAGCCAGGCGTTGGTGGCGCACGCCTTTAATCCCAGCACTTGGGAGGCAGAGGCAGCTGAATCTCTGTGAGCTCAAGGCCAGCCTGGACTACAAAGCGAGTTCCAGGACAGCCAGGGCTGTTTCATGGAGAAACCCTATCTCAAAAAACCAAAAAGAGCCAGGCGTTGGTGACACACGCCTTTAATCCCAGCACTTGGGAGGCAGAGGCAGGCAGATTTCAAGTTCAAGGCCAGCCTGGTCCACAGAGGAGTGCCAGGACAACCTCTAAAGCTACACAGAGAAACCCTGTCTCGAAAAAAACAAAGAGAGAGAGAGAGAGAGAGAGAGAGAGCAAAAAGAACTAAATAAGTGCTCGTTGGGCTTGGGGATGGCTCCTGTGGAGGAAAGCAAGCTACCTAACAGTTCCCCACACTACTTGCTGTGTGTCATGAGCTTGCTGATCACAACTGCGCCTCTGAGATGGATCCTGTCCTCTCTCCCTCACGACCACCTCAGTTCAGCCTCATTATCTCTCCCCGGCCTCTCTTTAGCACCCTGGCTGGTCTTCTGTGGCTTATGCTCCTGTGGTGCACCCCGCACCAGCATTTTAAGGAGTATGCTAAACCACAGAGCAGCCTCTTCTTGGTCTGACTAGTGGCTCCGTGCTCTCTCACCCCACATCCTAGATCCCTCATCAAACCCTGGAGATCCTCCACAGTTCAAATGTGCGTCTCACTGGGCTTCTCTCCGGGGGCGCCTCCTCTTTTGAACAGCACCCCTCAAGACACACAGACAGCTGCACAGACAGACATCCAGATGTATGGCAAGATCACCACATATTCGGATCACAATGGGGGGGGGGCTTTTCAGGCCATAAGTGACAGGAGTCACGGAATCACTTTCAAGTCCCTAAGAACAAGCTGCCAGAGTGGCGATAGGGTCTCTGTCCAGTGTAGGAATGTCCCTGTGCCCTGGCTGGGTTGTAGTGAGGGAGGCAGCCTGACCACGGACTCCCCCTGCAGAGCTAAAGATTAGCAATTAACTGGAAGGAATCTTGGGGGTAAAGTTAATTTAGTGGGGGAACAGAGGGAGGGCAGCTAAAGTTCTAGGGACTTTGCCCTTGACCCGAGGGTATAAAGAGGAGGGTCTCTGTTCCTCTTTAGACTTCCCTAAGCAGCCGAGAGCAGGAGCCGAGACTCAGAACTCAGGGTGAGTCCAGGGTCCCGTCCTTAGACTAGCCCATCACCCCAGCTCCATGTGTGAGTTTCCGCTCCCTGCCCCCTGTGACATCCCAATGCCAGCCCAGCCTGCTTTGCCTCACTCCACCCCTACCCTGAGCTAGAATAGAGCACCTACCCTGCCATGGGACATTCTAGCCATAGTAGTACCTGTATTTATCATAACACCTGGTGACCATTTCTATTCACTGAGCGATTACATCCTCTGCAGCTGTCTCCTTGCTAGACTTCGAACATCCTGAGGGCAGTGGCTTTTTTTTTTTAAATTGGTTAGTGTGCATTTTCAGTGTGTACCCCAGCATCTAACTCAGAACTTAGGAAACACTACACAGTCAAGAAATGCTTGTTGGCACTGGGGATGTAGCTCAACACTGGAGTGTTTGCCTGCTACGCTGAGGTCTCGGTTCCACTTCCAGCACTGTAAAACAAAACAGCTACAAAGCCTTGCTGAATGGATGAGTGACTGCTCAGATCTGTGACAAGCACCTTGATGTGCTTGTCTAGGTGTCTACGGATGGACAGACTCATGCACCCTAGGTTAGATGTCATGTGGTGTACCAGACACAGCAATTGTCAGCTCTGTCCCAAACTCTTGACACACAGGGCTCTCTGTGGTGCCCAGCATGATGTCCTATGGAGAGAGAGTGGGGGGAACAGCTGTCTCCCCACTTCCAGTCCGTGGGAGACACATGGTACATGGGACAGCCTTTGCTTATGTGCCCAGCCCACAAGGTAAGTACTGCCCCCATACCCCGAGTCCTGCTTGCTCTCAGTTGTCTATTGCCTGGTAAGGCTGCTGTCCCTCTCCTGGGTCCTGGGACCTTTGGAAACTCCTAATAAGCCTTCCTCCTCAGTCCTACACAGGATTCCAGGGACAGCCACCTATGCATTCTCCAGTCTGAGCCCAGTGACCCTCACGGAGCACAGCTGTCCCTATGGAGAGGTCCAGGAATGTCACGAGCAACTACCTGCCAAGCTGGCCCAGGAAGAGGAGCAAAAGCCAGGTGGGCCGGTTGGGGGTGGGGCAGCTAGGATGTGGGTAGACCCTGCCCTCATACCCTGCCCTCCGTTCTCACGCCTGCACAACCTCCAGAGCGCAGGCTGTCCCAGAGGCTGCACCAGGTTGCCACAAAGCTCCTCAAGGTACCGCTGATGCTGGGCTTCCTGTACCTCTTTGTCTGCTCCCTGGACGTGCTCAGCTCTGCCTTCCAGCTAGCAGGAGGTAGGGCCCAGGTGGAGGAGGTCAGGGGAGGGGTCCAGAAGGACCTCGGATGATGCTGGCTTGTGTTCTGCAGGGAAGGTGGCTGGTGACATCTTCAAGGACAATGCCATCCTGTCCAATCCAGTGGCAGGGCTGGTGGTGGGGATTCTGGTGACAGTACTGGTTCAGAGTTCCAGCACCTCGACATCCATCATTGTCAGCATGGTCTCCTCCGGCTGTGAGTCAGCCCAACATGGCCAGGGATAGAGCCCAGGGGCCAGAAGCTCCAGCATCAGGGTGGAGCATGGATAGGAGGTTGGGGGGGTTGGTGTTCCAGCCTCACCTGTATTGTCCTTGAAAGCAGGCTAAGGTTGAGGCTAAGGGTTGTTCCAGGGACCAGGGAGAGTGGAAAGGGGGAGCATAGCTCCTGGAAGACCCTCCTCCATTCAGCCACATAGTCACTCAGGAAAGCTACAGAAAACCAGTCTGTAAAGGTGATCATAAGCAGGCAGAGACAGATGGAGCTTTGGGGGTTCGAGGCCAGCCTGGTCTACGGAGCAAGTTCCAGGACAGCCAGGGATACACAGAGAAACCCTGACTCAGGAAAATGAATAAATAGTCACACACATGTGATTTATTACAATTAAATTGACTTCCACAGTTGTGTGGCTGGATGTTCAAGTCTGACATTCACAGAGTGAGCAGTTTGGAAAGGCAGGCTAGGACACAGTCATGGGCTTGATAGAAGTTATTGTAGGGCAGAGCCATTTGAGAGGCCCCTCTTCCGCCAGTGTTGGAGGTGACCTCTGCCATTCCAATCATCATGGGCTCCAACATCGGAACCTCGGTCACCAACACCATTGTGGCCCTAATGCAGGCAGGGGACAGGGCTGACTTCCGGCGGTGAGTTGGGAAAGAGGGTGGGGGCTCATGCTTGCTGGGGAGAAGGCAGAGCTGTACTCCAGGACCCATCTTAAGGACACCTCGAATCCAGCTGCCCTGCAATGTGGTGTCCCTGCTCAGGGCTTTTGCAGGGGCCACAGTGCACGATTGCTTTAACTGGTTGTCTGTCCTGGTCCTGCTGCCCTTGGAGGCTGCCACGGGCTACCTGCATCATGTCACCGGGCTCGTGGTTGCCTCCTTCAACATCCGTGGTGGCCGAGATGCCCCTGACCTTCTCAAGGTCATCACAGAACCCTTCACACGGCTGATCATCCAGGTGAGGACAGGGCCTGGCATGGGGTGGACTGACGTGGGATACTGAGTGGCCCTACCTTCACCTCTCTGTGTTATCTTGCTCACAGCTGGACAAGTCTGTCATCACCAGCATTGCCATGGGGGATGAGTCCCTGAGGAATCACAGTCTCATCCGGATTTGGTGCCACGAAGACCCACCAGAGGTGAGTTCCAGAGCCAAACCTAGGTAAGACAATTGCCTATTCGTTCCATAGACTTTGGAGATCGTTTAGCTCGGGAAGAGAAGATAACATTGAATTGTTCTCTGTAGTATATCCATGGCAAACATTGGCGATCCCTCCTAACCACACACACTGCTTTAGGCATGTAACTGATTTGGCCCAATGGCTTTCTCCCTTCCTTCCTCTCTCTCTCTCTCTCACTCTTTCTCTCTCCCTCTCTCTCTCTCTCTCCCTTCCTTCCTTCCTCTCTCCCTTCCTTCCTTCCTTTCTGTCTTTTCTTTTGTTATTGTTGTTTTGTTTTCGAGACAAGGTTTCACTCTGTGGCCCTCGCTGTCCTGGAACTCAATCTGTAGACCAGACTGTCCTGGAACTCACAGAGATCTGCCTGCCTCTGCTTCCCTAGTACTGGCATTAAAGGTGTGCGCCACCACCAGCCCCAGTTTGGCCCAGTGGTTTTCAAAAAGCTGTTGTCCCCCAGATTAACAGTATCAATACTACCTGGGAACCTATTAGAAATGTAAACTAGATACAAACGAGAAAATTCACTGCATAGAATACATACATCCTTCCTAGACCAATTGAATCAGAAAGAAGTCTCTGGGAATGGGCCCAGTTGCCTAGTCTCCAACTTGCCATCCAACTTTGGTCCATGCTCAAGTCTGGATAATGTGGATCAAGCTCAACGCTCGTCAAAGACTGAGACACAGGCTCAAAGAGACTAAGAAACTTGCCTGGGACTACCAGACCACAGGGACACTGGGGGCTAGTCACTCAGCTCTGCCATGCTTGGGGCAGAGCGATGTAGAGAGGAAAAGACTGCTACAAGCCTGTTGAGAAACTTGGACCCTGGAATTCCTGTTGAAGAGCAAGATGGTGTCTGTCACACTGGGCCTGAGTGTGGCACAGCAGTCACTCAGGCTGGCAGGGGACTCTTTCACCAGGAGCCACGTGTCCCTTGTCCTTCTGCATTGTTTCTGTTCCTCCTACTACCAAGAATGAAAAGCTGCTCAGATCGGTCGGACATTCATAGATCGGCCATTATGCCCATGGTACAAGGCATAATAGCAAGGCAATTAGGAGCAAAGGAGTAGGCAATTAGCATACTTTCTTCCTCAGCCATAAAAAGGGAAATGCTTCATCCAAACTGCAGTCTTCCAAATTGGCTTTTCCTTAATTATTAAATTCAAGAAATAACTCCATTTAGAAAAGCTACGGGGAAATCCAAAGCGCACAGCGGAGGCACGAGCCCATCCCCCACCTCCCCTCCTCTTGCTGGTGGATGTCCCTGGACCTCTACACCAGGACTCATAGAAAACACCCCAGCTCACCCTGTGAGGCCCCTTTGCACCCCAAGTGGCACACAGTGCCGGCACTGCTCTTCCGAGGCTTCAAGGCAGCTTGACAACAAAAAGCCCACGTAGCCAGCTTTGATGCTGGCTTTGTGACCTGCCTGACGAATCAGCCACCTTCTCATGAGCTCTCTGGCACTCTCAGGAAAGCTCTGTGAGTCATTGCAGCCTCAGAAAGCACACCCTGGGAGGATAAAAAAAAAAACAACCCCAAAAAAAAAAAAAAAAAAAAAAAAAAAAAGGCCAAGGTGAGATTTCCGGCCTGATGTCTTGGCTTGGGCAAGTCCCTACCTGTGCTCTGAACCTCTTCACCTGCTGCAGACCTGGGGCAAGAGCGGCCAGGTGGACCGCTCTACACAAATGGAGACTGAAGCTCAGCGATACAGAGTAACTGCCTGGTTCCCTGGCCGGGCCTGCCTTCCAGCTCTTTGCCGCTCTCTGGAGCTGCCCCTGCAGGAATGTGACTCTCACAGCCGTGTCAGGCGCTCTTGGCTGTGCTTTGGAGGGTCTTCCTTTACTAGTCTCCCCCACCACGGCCTCAAAGTTTCTGGTTTTTTTTTTTTTTTTTTTTTTTCCAACACTCATGGCTTCCAGCCTTCACCATACTGGGGACTGAATGTTGGTCAAACCAGTCTCCAGGGGACCCATGCCACCCAGGACAGGATGGGAGCCCAGTGACCTGGCATTGTCCTTGAAATTCCCTTCCTGTGAGTCACATTTGTGAATTGACAACTGTACCTGCCTGATTTTAACAGCATCTTTGGAGGATAGGCAACTAGGGACAATGTTAATACATCCCCACTCCGCGAAGAGAAAACGGCCTCACTCAGAGGCACACAGGCTTCCTGTATTACTGGTTCCTATAAGGGAGCAAGGTCTCCATCCTGTTGGGGTCCTCACTCCTCATTCAGTTTCATCCCTCGGATGCTGGCCTAAATTACCTCCATCTGTGTCTATGTCTCTTCCCAGACCACCCTGGACCCCTAGGGCTGGTGGAATGGAGATGCTCTGGGAACTTCTCCTTTCAGCCACCAGATGGTGCTGCTGGCCCAGAGCGCTCCTGTTTCCAGAAGAACAAAGGCCCCACAGCTACCATACCCGCGGTGGGGAAGCTATTGTGCAAGCCCACATCCTCTGTGGTTCTCTCCTGAGGAAGGACTCTTAAAGCACCGAAGTCCTCTGTGAACTTAATCAGTCCTCCAGTTCCCAGAAGTGTCTCAATCAAGGATGTCCCTATAGGCTTGTAAATACCAACTCTTTCCAAGACGCTTCCAGCTCGCCTGTGGGAAAAGAAGAGCGTTAGAGACTTTATGTTAGAGAGACAACCCAAGCCCAGATTGCTTTAGTGTATGGCTCCATGTCACATAGATGAGAGTGGCGCCGCCACAGCGAGCCCAGGACTGTGGAAGGTCATTTGTTCCGTTTCCACCCCGCTTCCTTTCTGTTCCTCCACTCCGCCCCAGAGAGGATGGACACATCTTGGGAACATGACCAGATCTAGGCCTCTGAGCTGTATAACTAGGTCAGAGTTCCTACCTTGGAGGGTCGTCTCTCCCCTCAGTTCCTTCCTGGGCTGGCTTTACAGCGGGCCCCTCTCTGTCACTCCTACTGTCTCTACATTCCCCTCCTGCTCTTTAGAGGGGGTCTTCAGAAGGGGGTCCCTGCCCCCCTTCTGGGCTCAGTTAAGGCCACACAACCCCAGGAAGAAAAGCCAAGGTTCGAGACCCCCAGAGAAGGACAGAGAGCACAGCTCAGTGATGGAATAGGGGACTGGCATGTATGAGGTCTGGGTTCAAGGTCCAATTTCAGCACCAAAAATACAAATAACACTCTAGATATCTCAGCCCGCAGCCTTTTCCTACCCCCATGGTAGGACCTATGCCAAGTTCCTCACCCACCTCTGGCCTCTATATGGCCTACAAGTCCCCTCCCTAGAAGGCCCCCAGATGCAGCTCAGAGAAAGCCAGTGAGGCCCACATGCATCTCAGGAGATTCTCAGCTTCCTAGTGGTCTGGCTGGGGACATCCCAGAAGGTCCACCAAGATCCTTCCCCAAAGTGCTAGTATCCACAGGCATGTCTACAGGGGTCACCAGTCATGATCTAGGAGGTTAGTCACATACCATGTGGGGTGCCCAGGAAGACAGGAAGACAGACGACCGGTCCCTTATCTGGAGGCTGTGGGAAGCCAGACCCTGAGGTGAGGAGTTGATGCGTCTTTTCTCCTTTGACATTTATACTTTTAATATTCCAATTTATTTTTTCCCAAATATTTATTTTTATGTCCATTGGTGTTTTGCCTGCGTGTGTCTGTGTGAGGATGCCAGATCCCCTGGAACTGGAGTTACAGACATCTGTGAGCAGCAGTATGGGTGCTGGGAACTGAACCTGTGTCCTCTAAGAGCAGGCAGTGCTCTTCACCGTTGAACCATCTCTCCAGCCTCCTATCAGTGTAAACAGGCTCAGAGGTGATGCTTGACTAGCCCCAGATAGTTGATATGAAAAGCAGGATCTGAACTCGGCAAACACCTGGCTTTCCCTGACTAACCCCCCCCTCTCCCCTTACCAGGTCAATAGTCACCCTCACTTCATTAGCCTAGCTTTTGTTTCTCTTTTTAATTATTTACTTACTTTTATTTTATGTGCATTGGTGTTTTGCCTGCATCATGTATGTTTGTGTGAGGGTGTCAGGTCTTAGAGTTATAGACAGTTGTGAGCTGCCACCTGGGTGCTGGGATTTGAACCCAAAACATCTGAAAGAATAACTAGTGCTCTTAACCACTGAGCCATCTCTCCAGCCCCTTAGTTTTTGTTTCTTGTTTTGTTTTATTCTTGAGACAAGATCTCACTTTTAGTATGGACTGACCTTAAACTCATGGCAATCCTCCTGCCTTAACTTCCCAGGTGCCCTTCTGGATTTCTATCCTATCAGATGATTTCATCCTGCATCCTTGTCTAGAGTTCAGGCCTCCAGGCTCGATGGTGCCTGAGGCCTAGATTTGGTGAACTGGGAATAACAGCTGAGCACAGTGCCTTGCCCAAGCCAGGACATCTCACTAACACAGATCCTAATGTTAAAACCAGCTGCTGGAAACAGCATCACAGCAGGGGTTTTGTTCTGCTTGTTTGGGGTGCTGCTCATGCAGACAAGGGCTGTACCTTTGGCCCAAGCCCCAGCCTGGCATACATTCCCTACATGGACATGGTTGGGAACAGAACCTAAAGAAGCTATAGAATCACATTGTCAGCACCCTACCCGAACCCCGCCCTTAGCTTCTCCACGCCCACTGTTTCCTCCTGTCACAGCTGCATGGTTCCTGGGCACCAGCCAGAGAAGTAAGGAATTTGGGTTTACAGTGAAGCTACAGACTGATGATCTACAGACTGAAGAGATGGACACTTCTGTTGGCCAGGGAACTCTGCTTCCTAGAGCTTGAAAATGTGCTCTGTAGTCCTAGAGACACAGGCCTGTGAATCCCAGGGGGGGGGGGGGGGGGGGGGGGGGGGGGGGAATGGCAAGTCCTCCCTGGAAAATTTAGTGAGGCCCGTCTCAAGATAAAAAATGAAGCCAGGCGTTGCTGGCACACGCCTTTAATCCCAGCACTCAGAAGGCTGAGGCAGGCAGATCTCTGTGAGTTCAAGGCCAGCCTGGTCTCCAGAGCGAGTGCCAGGATAGGCTCCAAAGCTACAAAATGAAATGAGAGAGAAAAAATGAAAGAAGAACTTGGGGTGCAGCTCGGTGGTGGGATTTCTGCCTGACATTTGTGCTCAGTCCATAGTTCTGGAAGAAAAGTCTCAGAGTACAGCCAGGACATGCATAGAGATTGAAGGATTTTACCTAAAGCCCCAGAATTGCGGTTTCTCTTATAGAACTAGGCAGCTGGGCCACACTGGGATGTATCCCTGGATGGTGACAGTGGCCTGAAGCTAAATCGCTGCTGTCTCTGTAGACACACCCTCTTCACATGCAGTTAAAACCATAATTTATGTCACACCTTTGTCCCCTCTACCTGGGGGATTTACCAGAAAGACCCCCCTCACTTGACTCCCAGTAGGTCCAGAAAGAAGAAATGGGGGGAGCTATACCCTCTGCTCTCACCCACCCTCCTTCACTTGGAACTTCCCAAGGGCAAGGCATTGAGCCAAGGCAGAATGGAGCTTGGGCTCAGTGAGCTTTAGGGGGATCATGGGGCAAGCACTGAGGAAGACGGCATCAAGAGAGGAACTGGTAAGAACAGATGGGGAGAGAAGGGCTTTCAGAAAACGGTTATAGATGCCACTGAGAGGAGGGGAACCAAGACAAGAAGCTACTAGTCTGGTGATTGGGGGTCCCCACTGGTCCCAGGGGTTGCCAGGTCAGGGGAGTGATGGGTAGAATATTTACAAGGCCACATCCTGGGGTGGTAAGGATTTCAACCCAGAGGAGATGGGCTTAGAGCTGCAAGCTGCTTGCTCATGATCTCAGAGCCCAGTCTCTCCACAGCTCTCATTGCTCCCAATCCTCCCTCTTAGCCCCACCCCAGGCTGTGCCTTTCAAGATTCCCTAAGTCACCTTCCTCTGAATTTAGGCCCCCACGTCGATGTCCAGGATAGAGGCCAACATCAGCCTTGCAAATGCCACCATGGAGAAATGTAAGTACCTACAACATGGAAGGAACACAGGGAGCCATCCTGGGCTGGCTACTGCTGTGTCCGGTCTCAGGACTGGCAGCTGACTTCTGGGCTTAGGTCAGTCGCTGCTATGGAAGCTAAAGGAACTTGATGTGGGAGCCAGGCTAGCATCAAAGCTGGGAAGCAGGGTGTGGCAGTGAACTCTCAGCAGCCTGATGTCACTCTTTCAGGCAACCATCTCTTCGTGGACACGGGGCTGCCTGACTTGGCCGTGGGGCTCATTCTACTGGCTGGCTCCCTGGTGGTTCTGTGCAGTTGTCTGATTCTCCTTGTTAAGATGCTCAACTCTCTGCTCAAGGGTCAAGTGGCCAATGTCATCCAGAAGGTCATCAATACGGGTGAGCTGAGGGAAGGCTGCAGGTCTAGGCGGAGCACAGATGAGCTCTTTCAGGTGTTGCTAAATCCACCCATATTATCTGTGAGCCTCAGTTTCCCCTATGTGAATCAAGAAGGGTGGGACCAGGTCACTTGGAGGCTCCTGAGATGCTGACATCCAGAAAACTGGAGCTGTTGATGGCTGTTGTGTGGTCCAGCAGATGGGCAGCTTTAGAAGCCACTGTCTTGTTTTTATTTGGTCTGGATTCTCCTAAGGCATGGTCTCATGCAGCCCATGATGCCCTGACCTTGCTATGTGACCTAGGCTGGCCAAGGACTTCTCACATTCTTGCTTTGACTTGTCAAGTGCTAGGATTACATCTATGCATGACCATGTCCAGCTAAAAAAACCTGTGTTTAACTGACAAATAGACACTAAGCCCTTATTGTGTGCCACAGGATATAGGAGTGTGGCAAATATATGGATCCTGATCCCAGGATCTCACAAATGTGATTTCCTCATAGAAGCAGGCAACTGGACTGTGCTGGGCTGTGTCCCAAATGGTTACAATGCCATAGAGTTAAGTAGCTGTTAACCCTGTAGGCCCACCTGGGTGGGCCCATCATTTCAGTCACCAACCAAACCTTGTGTCTATCTGGACCTTTCTCAGGGAGCCCCTCACTTTATTCCCAGTAAATGAGGAAAGAGGGAATAAATTTGAAGCTGCAGCAAGGTTATTGCCAAGGAGACAGAAAGATGGCAACAGGACAGAATACAGAAGAGGTTGACCCTATGGTTGGTCTGAGGTCTGAGGAGGAGGCACAGGAGTTGAGCAAGGAGTCAAATGTGGATGAAGAGACCAGATGTGGTAGCACACGCCTGTCACTCCAGCACTCCAGAAGTATAGGCAGAAGGATTTTGAGGCTAGCTTAGGCTATATAGAAAGAACTTGTCTAAACAAACAAAAGAACAATAATTTTGTTTTCCGAGACAAGGTTTTTTATGTAGCCTTGGTTGTCTTGGAACTTGATCTGTAGATTAAAGGTGTGTGTGTTGAGGGGTTCTCATTATGTACTCTTGGCCAGCCTGGAACTTGCTATGTAGGCCAGGCTGGCCTTGAACTCAGAGATTCACTTGTTTCTGCCTCCAGAGTGCTGAGATTAAAAACATGATTCACCAACCTCTACCAAAATAAACTTGGAGGAGGGCTGGAGACATGGCTCGATTGTCTCTATGCTTGTCTACAAGCCTGAGAAGCTAAGTTGGATGCACATAACCCACATAAAAAGCCAGAGGTGGGGTGCATGCCTGTACCACGAGTGCGTTGAGGCAGGGGATCCCATATGGCTGGGCAGCAGGCCAAGCCACTTGATGAGATCTAGGTTCAGTGAGAGGCCTTGTCTCAAAAAATAAGACACAGGAAGATAAAGACACCCACCCCAAACTGACCTCTGGCTTCCACATACAGAGAAACAAAGTAAATGTGGATGAAAGCCAGGTGCGATGGCTCGTGACTGTCGCTCCTGACTGTCACCCCTGTTCTTTGAAGGCTGAGGCAGGAGGATTGAGGAGAGCTTGAGGAGAACCTGACTATACAGTGGAACTTTATTTCAGCGCTACCTTCCCCGAAAAACCCTCCACATAAGACAAACAACAGATAGAGGATAAGAATGCTGCTCAGTGATGAGGCACCTACCCAGCACACTTGAGGCTTGGGGTCTACCCCCAACACCGATGACAAGAGAAACCTATGTAGATGGAGAGTAGGAAAAGCAAGGGAGGTCAGGAAGGGCTTTCTAGCAAGGGCTTCCTAGCTTTGGCTTCTCAAATGCTGGGATTCCATCTATGCATGACCATGTCACCCTGGAGGGTGAAACAGTTGACATTCTCCATCTTTGGGACCCTGATCTGCAGATCCAGTCAGTCAGAATCAAAAACATTTCAGACAAATAAGTGCACCTGTCTTGAAGCAGAATTTTCTCATTTTTCTTGAACAATACAGCATAACAAATATTTATGCTTTTACAATGTTTGTTTCCTTGTTTTGTTTTTTTGAGGCAAAGTCTCACAATGCAGCCCTGGTTGGTATGGAGCTCACTATATAGACCAGGCTGGCCTTAAACTTACAGAAATCCACCTGCCTGACTTCTGAGTGTTGAAGTTAGTGTTCACCACCACCCTCAGATCATATACATATATTATTATATATTCTCTGTGTTATTTTATTTATTCTGTGTGTTTGGGTGTGTGCACATGTGCACACCACGGCACATGCGAAGGTCACATGACTACTTGCTTGACTTGGCTCTCTCCATGTAGACCCCAATTAAGCTCAGGTTGTGAGGCTTAGCAGCAGGAGTCTTTTTCCGCTCAGACATCTCAGCAGTCACGGCCTTGACTTACATCAGATATGATAAACCATCTAGTTGTGACTTAAAGCACACTGCTGCAGCATGAGCACTGGCCCTAGGCAAATGCTTCACTTTTATACAAGCACGCTTAGATGTTGGTGTCCATGGGCTTCCCGTGGATTTAGGTACTGGAGCTTTGCGGGCAGAGCATAGCTAGGGCAAAGTTACACAAGAGTGTAATAGCTCAGGTAAGGAAGTGTGTTGACCACAAGAGCAAGCCCGGCAAATGAACGCTGTTAAGGGCGAGCAGGGGATCAGCTAGATTCTCCCAGGGCAACTACTTCCTAAGGAGCTCCTGGAAGAGCAAGTGACTGCTTTCTCAAGGCCTCTCACTGACATGGCTTCCTGTGCATTTGGGATCTTTCCAGACTTTCCAGCCCCCTTCACCTGGGTCACAGGCTACTTTGCCATGGTCGTGGGTGCCAGCATGACCTTTGTTGTCCAGAGCAGTTCTGTGTTCACCTCAGCGATCACCCCACTCATCGGTGAGTGTATATGTCCAGCAATGGGCAGCAGGGGGGTGGGCTGTGTGCACATGCCCAGGAACCAGCTGGAATGACATATTCTCTCCTGCCCACCAGGCCTGGGTGTGATCAGTATTGAGCGTGCCTACCCTCTGACACTGGGCTCCAACATTGGCACTACCACCACAGCCATCCTGGCGGCACTGGCCAGCCCCAAGGAGAAGCTGTCCAGCTCCTTCCAGGTACATGGGGAGAGTGGGCTGTCAGCAGTAATAGAGGGCTGGGGTGTAGGCCCAGTGGAGGATGTGACAACATATAGCCAACACCAGTTGCCTGCTAAGGCCACCCACTCGTCACTGGAAACCACGATGGACAAATTAGACTTAATTCCACTTTCAGGACCTTGGTGTCTATTAGTGAACCCCTGCTGTGCTGTATCAGTATAGAGCAGCAAGTACGGTCACACTGTGGCCCTGTGCTGTCAGAGAGGCCTGGCCCAATCTGGAGGATTGGGAATGTTAAGCAGATGGTAAAGCCAGGATCAGTCTAGAAGCAAACAGCTGACAAGATGCTGACCAGTTAAAAGTCCAGAATAGGCAAGCCAGAAACTAATCTTTACCAGCTGCTAAAATGGTAGTAGATGCCTGAAATCCCAGCACTTGGCAGAAAAATGGCCCAAACTTAAGGTCAGCCTGGTCTATAGAGACAGACCCTGTCGGAAAGGCAGATCTTTCAGCTGCGGGGCTGTAGCTGAGGAACTCATGAGAGGGTAGTCAGTGAGACACAGGTGGATTGTTGGGGGCAGTTGTCATTTACCAAGCAGTCCAACAACACAGTATTTTAATAACCAGTCTGGAGCAATCTGGAGTGATTGGTCTGCAGAGGTTTTCCCCTGCTACCCTAAGCATGTGGGGCCTGCCTCTGCTAGGTTCGCGTGCGAGTGGACATCACCTCAGCCCCTCCACGTTCTCTTCTGCAGATTGCCCTCTGCCACTTCTTCTTCAACATCTCGGGCATCTTGCTCTGGTACCCGCTGCCCTGCACACGCCTGCCTATCCGCATGGCCAAGGCGCTGGGCAAACGCACCGCCAAGTACCGCTGGTTTGCCGTCCTCTACCTCCTCGTGTGCTTCCTGCTTTTGCCCTCGCTGGTGTTTGGCATTTCCATGGCGGGCTGGCAGGCTATGGTCGGTGTGGGCACACCCTTTGGGGCCCTGCTGGCCTTTGTGGTGCTTGTCAACGTCCTGCAGAATCGAAGTCCTGGGCACCTACCCAAGTGGCTGCAGACATGGGACTTCCTGCCTCGCTGGATGCATTCTTTGCAGCCCCTGGACGGTCTTATCACCCGCGCCACCTTGTGCTATGCCAGGCCTGAGCCCCGCTCACCCCAGCTTCCCCCTAGAGTCTTCCTGGAGGAGCTTCCCCCTGCCACACCCTCCCCGCGCCTCGCTCTGCCTACTCACAATGCCACTCGCCTTTAGGCTGCAAGCCCAGACTACTGCCTGGAGCAGGGAACGGTGTTTTTGTGGAGCCCACAGTAGAAGGGCAGAGGAGTGTGTGTGTGTGTAGACGCACATCATTTGAGGTTCGTGATTTTGTGCCACCCTTGGGTGCCCGTCTGTATGCAGGGCCATAGTGATGTGGGCTTTTGTCATTAGGAGGCAGTGTGCACGAGTACACGTTAGGTGGGGAGTCTGTGTGACCATCAGTTAGGTATAGCCCATGTGTATATATTGTCTGTCAACCCATGCATGTGTGCAGACAAACTTACATACGAGGTGTGTGTAGGTACACACGAGGCTGTGTACAAGGTGCAGGCTATCTGGTCCTGAGTTTGGTTGTTTGTAGACACAAACCCGATACAAGACCTGAGCTTGTGTCTCGTGCACACAGATTACTATGGAGGAAAGGGGGCTCTACATCCCTGACTATGTAGTTATGGCTGGCGCTCAGATGTGAGTGTCTGAGTCGCTGACTGAATTCTACTCCCTCTGCCCCCTTCTTCCCCATGCCATTTTCCTCATCCTCACCAAGGGCTTCAGCACCACGGCCGAGATACCTTTTCCCAACCCTTCTTGATGAAAACCAGAAAAGAATTAAACTCTCATTATTTGGGAATACTTTTGTTTCTCTATAAACAAAGAGAAGATCAAGATAGCGGTTCACCCTCCATGGAACGCTCACTGGACTAACAGCCTTCAGCCCTTTATGCTTAGAGTCTGCCTGGCTCTGCTTTCGTGAGCCCAATCCATAATTAAAGCCCCAACAAATCCCTCCAGACTTGGAGCCACCCCCGAGGCAACCTCGGCACCTCCACACCCTGGTATCCCTTGTCTTCTAAACCCACCCACCTCAACCCAACGTTCATTCTCCCTAAGATGAGTGCTCCAGAATGAAGGACCAGTGGAGGCTTGTTGGGGCCACTGGAAAAAGGGACGGTATGGTAACTGTCGGCAATGGAGGCTTTGCCCTGCTCACAGAGGGCAGAGAACAGATCCTCCCTCCCACCTCTGTCCTATGTCTTTGGGGAATAAGCCAGGCATCTCCTAAACAGATCTGAGCTTTGCAGTTCTTCCTCTCTGGAGCTGAGGCTTGCTGAGTGAGGGTCAAGCGGGGGGCTGCCACACGGAACCCTGGAGCTGAGGCTTGCAGAGTGAGGGTCAAGGGGGGGCTGCCACACAGCGCCCTGGAGCTGAGGCTTGCTGGGGGGGGGAGAGGCTGACATATTTCTTCCCTGTAGTCTAAGGATTTCTATGCAGGTTCTGCAGAGTCAGACCCAGTTGTGATGCTAATACATAGGTCCCTTCAGTGGACCCCCCTGTGTGTGATGGGGATGTAGAGCTGTTCTGGGAATAGCCAGCTGCATCCTGTCACCTACTCACAATTCTCGCACCAAGTTGGGGGGGAGGGCAGAAATACTGCCAGCCCTCTGTACACACGGGCTTTACCTCTGCCAATTGTGCAACTGTTGATAGAAAGATTTAAAGTTCCATCTGTACTGATCATACAGGGGCATTTTAAAAAATCAGTATTCCTTATGCATGGAACACAGTAACTGGCTTTTACATTCTATTAGGTGTATGTCACCTGGAGATCACACACTGTCATTTTGTAGGAGAGACTTGAGTATCTGAAGATTTGAGCGTCCACGGGTGTCCAGGAGCCCATCAGCAACATACTGAGGGGCACTTACCTCCATTCTGAAATTCCACAGACCTTGACTGGCGTGTGCTGGGGAGGGAGGGGGTGGAAATGACTCCCGTCATTGTTATGCCTACACGTGTGGAAAATTCCGCGAGAAAACGCTGAAGCCTGAGGTAAAATTTGAGAGCCTGCCACCCCGGGGTGCTTTCTCAGCTGTGACGTTCTAGGGCCCTGGGGAAGTGCCTTTGCACTCAGACCAAGGCATCTACCACAGCACGAGCGCGCAGGGCACAGGAGGCCTGGAAGCCCACCAGGACTGTTTGGTTCTTCAAGAGTCTCCCCATTAACTAGTTTCCTTGTTTGCAAGTCCTCGCACAAGCACAAAGAGGGCACGCCCCCGGCGCTCCGTTCACAGTTTATTCTGGTCCCCCTACCACTACGGGTGGCCTAGCTGGCCCGCTAGGAGCACTGCTCCCGGAGCCCACCGATCAGGTCGTGCACTGTCTTGTTGAGGATGCCTCCATGCACACCTCGTCTGCCCATGAGAACCAGGAGCGCCCGCGGCGTGTGGCCCACGCAGATTGCACGCCCGTCCAGTCCCTTGGTGCGTGCATCCAGTACACCGTCGCCCTCGGCCAGCAGGTAGTCACGGATGACGCAGCAGCGGCGACCCGCCACGCTCAGGCCGGTCTGCAGAAAGGTGTGGCGGTCTGGCCCGGTGAGCACGCCCACCTCCTGCGGGGAGATGGCCGCCAGCAGACCCCCGGGCCGCGACGCCCACACGCAGCGATTGTCCGAGTGGCCCACGATGGCCACATCGTCGATGCGCTGGTCCCGCAGCACCGCACTGATGTAGCCCTTCCAGTCACCCATCCTCCGCTCAGAGCTCAGAGTCCGCCCCTGCACCTCGCGATCGCGCCGCTCGACCGGGTGGCCCTCAGCACTGAGAGCCAGGAACCCCTGCTCTCCCCCGTGAAGTTCGCAGGGCAGGGCGGGCTGTGACGTGGGGCCAACGTCACAGAACGTCCCTCTAGGTGGAGAACGTGAGGGTGGTGCAGGTGCGGGGAGCGCGGTTCTAAAAGCAGCTCGTGGGAGGCTGAGGAGGCGGCGCGGCGCTAAGAAAGCACCCACTGCTCTCACAGAGGGCCTCGGTTGGCATACAATGCCAGGCAGGTGGGTCTCTGTGAGCTTGCAGTCAGCCCCGTCTACAAAGCGAGTCCCAGGACAGCCAGGGCTACACGGAGAAACCCCGTCGAAAACAAACAACAAACAAATCAGAAGAGGACTGGTATAAGAGCACGAGCTTCTCCACAGAGGACCAGAGTTCAGCTCCCAGCGCGAGGTAAAGCAGCTCACTCTCCTCCTCTAGTGTCCTTGGGCACCTGTACTCACATCCACAAGCACACACAAGCGCCTAACTAAAAATCTTGATTCTCTGTGAGTTTGGGGTCAGCCTGGTCTACAAGGCTTGGACAGTCAAGGCTGTTACACAGAGAAACCCTGGCTCAAACGCCCGCCCCCCCACACAAATCTTTTTCAATCTTTTAAAAATGGCTCAGAAGGTAAGGGTGCTGCTTTGCCCTGTAAGCCTGGGGGCCTGAGCTTCACCCCTGGAGCCCACAGAAAGGCAGAAGGAGAAACCAACTCCACAAAGCTGTCCCCGAACCCACACATCACTGACACACTTACAAACACATTGCACACACACAAACCACAAAATTTTTATTAATTTTAAAAATTCAGACATTGTGGTACACACTTAATCCCAGGACTCAGGAGGCAGAGGCAAGTGGATCTCTGTAAATTCAAGGCTAGCCTATTCTACATAGCAAATCCCAGGCCAGCCAAGAGCTACATAGTAAGATACTGTATCCAAAGGGGGGGGGATAAAAAAAAAGATGTGTGCAGCTCAGTCAGTTGAGTGAAGTTGACAGAGTGCCTGACTATTATACACAGTTTGGAGATTGATCCCCCAGCACCACATAAACCCCGTGTGAGTGCAAGCCTACAATCTCTGCTTCAGGAAAACAAGCGTCTCAATAAATAAATGGCTTTTTTTTTTTTTTTTTCGAGACAGGGTTTCTCTGTGGCTTTGGAGCATATCCTGGAACTAGCTCTTGTAGACCAGGCTGGTCTTGAACTCACAGAGATCCGCCTGCCTCTGCCTCCCGAGTGCTGGGATTTAAAGGCGTGTGTCACCAACACCCAGCAATAAATGGCATTTTTAAGAGCAAGAGAGGTGCTAGTCTAGACAGTCAGACCTCTAGCTAGTGCACTAGTTAGATGGTTTCCTTACAGAGTCACAGTTTCCCAGAAGGTTTACAGATGGCTGGCTCCCACCCCAGTGTTCCATTTAATAGCATGGAAGGTAGTCTCAGATGTTCCTTGCCAGTAGCTTGCACCCCCATGCCAGGCTCAAAGTTCAAAAAACGAAAACAAACAAACCCCCAAACACCCTTTCTTAATGGTGCTGGAATCTAACCCAGGTCCTCACACAGGCTCAGCTACCACTACCCGCACCCCAAGTCCAATCTGGAACAGTCCTTACTATGGTTTTCAACTTTCACTGCATATGGAATCCCATGAAGAATTTTAAAACCATGCCACTACTGCCTTCTCCCTGGGGACTCCAGTGAATTGCTCTCAGGTGGACTTGAGCACTTGTTCCAAAATCTCCCCCAGGGGACCCAGAAGTGTAGTCCAGTCTGAGACCCTGTTACTGTGAGTTCTGGGGGCCAATCTGCAAGGGCCACCTTGCACAGTGATTGACACAAGGTAAGGCCAAGAAAACATGGTGGCCTGAATAAGCGCTCTGAGATGTGGCCAACTGCCTTGTCCAGGCAGTGAGGGAGTTGGTGCACCTTTTTTTCTCACTTGGCATTTCAAGAGGGAATTCTAAGGAACGAACATTTTGAAAGCACTTTATTGAGTTTCTGTGCCCCTGATACCTGGGCACTATCTTCACTGTGGCCATCACGCCATAGTCACCCTCACACTCCAGGGAGCACAGTGAGGGGAAGACTAACCCTCATTAGTTATGAAGCAGTATGCTCCTGGATCCAAGCCAGGTAATTGGCTACGTCAGTGTAGACTCCTGGCTTGTTGCGGTCACCACAGCCGGAGCCCCAGCTGATGATACCTCGCAGGGTGAGACGGTGCTCTTCAGCTCCTTCTTCACACACAAGAGGACCCCCAGAGTCACCCTGAAAGGGGGGGGGACAAGCAGCTCGTTGCTTTTGGCCTGTGGTTGACAGGGAGAGGCAAAGCACCAACCAGGACCCCCGGGCTGACCTGGCAGGCGTCGGTGCCTCCTTCCAGGAAGCCAGCGCAAAGCATTCCAGGCAGGATGGCGTCCCCGTGCACGTCAGCGCTGGAGCAGCGCTCCTGGGAGATGAAGGGTACCTGCGCCTCCTGCAGGAAGCTGGCGTATTCCTCCGCCCCTGCAAATCCAGGGACCTGAGCTTGCTGTGTGGGCCAGGCTCCTGGGCAATTCCACACCTACTCTGACTTGGTTTCCTCAGAGCAAGACTGAGTGTTAGGGACCTGCCAATAACAATTTCACAGGCAAGAAAACTGAGGCCCAGAGAGAAGATGGGATTTGAATGAACAGGAAAACATCTCTTACCCTCTCCAAGCAATGTCTTAGAACCTGGCTCCCAAAATAGTTGTCCCCATTGCTCTAGCATGGGGACAAAGTCCTAGTTAAGCCTTTGTAACTTGGAACCCAGAGAGAACCAAGAAAAAGTTCGATTTTCTCTGTAATCCTGTGCTGGGTCACTTTTTATTCAACTTGACATCTGACCCTCCTTCAGATTGGCCTGTGGAAATGTCTGTGGAGCATTTTCTTGATTAATGACTGATGTGAGAGAGCCCAGCCTCTCACATCACCACCTCGCCCAGGGTGGGAGGTGACACCCCTGAACAGGTCTGGGTTGTATAAGAAAGCAACATGAGCTGGGCACTCAGACGTAGAGGCAGGAGGGTCTCTGTGATTTCGAGGCCAGCCTGGTCTACAGAGTGAGTGCCAGGACAACCAAAGCTACTGAGAAACCCTGTCTTGAAAAACAAAACCCAAAAGGAGAAGGAGGAGGAGGAGGAGGAGGAGGAGGAGGAGGAGGAGGAGGAGGAGGAGGAGGAGGAGGAGGAGGAGGAGGAGGAGGAGGAGGAGGAGGAGGAGGAGGAGGAGGAGGAGGAGGAGGAGGAGGAGGAGGAGGAGGAGGAGGAGGAGGAGGAGGAGGAGGAGGAGGAGGAGGAGGAGGAAAAGTTGTTTTGTTTGGGGTGTGGCTCAGAAGTTCAGAGTACTTGCTGCTTGCTCTTGCGGTGGGCCTTGGTTCAATTCCCAGGACCCACATGGTGGCTCACAACCTTTACTCCAGATCTAGCTTTCCCTATACCAGGCATATACACACGCTGCAATGTATAGATACAGGCAGTTACACACGAGCATAAAATAAAAATAAATGAATTTTTTAAAAGAAAGCTGAGCAGCCAGGTGGTGGCTCATGCCTTTAATCCCAGCACTCAGGAGGCAGAGGCAGGTGGATCTCTGTGAGTTCGAGGCCAGCCTGGTCTACAGAGCTAGTTCCAGGACAGCCAGGGTTACACAAAGAAACCCTGTCCTGAAAAACCAAACAACAAAAAGGAAAGCTGAGCAAGCCTCGGCGAGCAAGGCAGCAAGGACAGTTCCTTCCGGCTCTCTCTCTCTACTTCAGTTCCTGCCTGCAAATTCTTGTCTCGGGTCTCCCACACACACACACACACACCCCTGGTGGACTGAAACCTTGTAGGCAGCAAAGCCTTTCCTGCCTAAGCTGATTTTGGATAAACCCTAAGGGATTTGGGAACCTCGACAGCGAATTCTAGACTCTGGAAATGTGCTACAGAGACAGGGCCCTGCACGTTTTTACAAAACTGTAAAGTGAACCGTGTTCCCCAGGCTCATCCGAGGCTACCAAAAGTGCACGCTCAGATAGCCAAAAGTATCTAACCGGCTCCCAACAGTTGTGCCTACCCTCGAACTGGTGACCCCAGCCGGCCACCTCGCAGAGCACTGTCTCCGAGGGTGGGGCTGCCCCGCTGGGTAAGCACACAGGCTGGATGTGAGGCGAGGGGATCGCGCAGCTGTTGTTTTCGCTTTCCTGCAGGCGCAGCAGAGCTACCGCGAGAGGGAAGGGTTAGGCGGCGACCTGGGTGGGGCCCCAGCCCTCCCCATCCTTTCTTTGTGTCCCTGCAGGGTCACCCCACCCAGGTCGTGCTGGTAGGTGACGGAGGAGTAGCCCTCGTGAAGGCGGTAGGAGCGCACGGCCAGCGTCTGGCACCGCTCGCAGCTCTGGTTATG